TAATTTTCGCTGAGTACACTTTTTAACTCCAAAGTGACTCAGATTCATTTCATTAAGCCTTATACTTAATTTTACTCACTAAAACATGCTTTATTATTTAATTACTTGTAATTTACTAATTAATTAGGTTAGGGATATTATATTCACCCCACCTTTTAGCGATTTTGTCCGCAAAATCAGGAACATACCTATTCCTGAACTCGGGCTTCCGCTAGAGAACTCGTTCTCCCCGTTACCAACTGGACAGGTCAGGCCTTCTGCCTTCCCACTGCATCTCGACCATCAAAATGGTTTTATCTCTATACTTATACACACGTTGCCATTAGGTGCAAGCCTTTGAGCTTATAAGTAGTGCTCGATCTCCTCAAGCCTAGTTATTTTATCCCTACCAGGTCTATATCCTTCGTTCTGGTATGAAACCATAAAACATCATGGTCTTACCTCATCAACATTTATTCAATTTTAATAATGTTACTTTCAAACTCCTCATCTTTAAGACAATCCTAAGATCATCACCAATCTCCATATTGTGTGCTAACCCTTTCGTTAGGCACACAGTCTTTTACAGACTATTTTCTCAATGATCCATTATCATTACAAGGTTGTTTATAATAAATCTCACAAAATTTTCTATTTCGTGAACTAGTCTTTTCATTACAACTTTGAACCCTTTCTAAGTTTTCGATCTAATATTAGCCATTTTTCTAATATTACTGTCCACATGTGCTTTAGTACATCAGCCTTCTCACTGATAATATCCTATCCTATTTAATTGTACATCAGTTTTGTCACTGATGATACCATTCCATTGAAACATCAGTGCATCAGTCCTTCCACTGATAATACCAACTACATTTGTAATAGACCATCAGTCCTTTCACCGATGACCCTATCAGTCTTTACGCTGATAATACAATCCTTACCTAAACTTTTAATTAGATATTAGTCCTTTCACTAATATCATGCACCAATCCTTTCACTAGCATGCACATCAGTTCTTCCACTGATGATTTTATCAGTCCTTTCACTGATTTCACATATCAGTCCTTTCACTGATGATTTTATCAGTCCTTTCACTGATTTCACATATCAGTCCTTTCACTGATGATTTTATCAGTCCTTTCACTGATTTCACATATCAGTCCTTTCACTGACATGGCACACCAGTCCTTTCACTGATGATTTTATCAGTCCTTTCACTGACATGGCACACCAGTCCTTTCACTGATGACTTGTTTTCATCATTCAATGGTACATTAGCCTTTTCACTAACCATACCATCTTCACTCTCACTTCATGACTTACTTTTTAAGGAATTATTCCTTTTTAAAAACAAATTTTTTATCTGGGTGCTTCCAAGAGTCACTACTCTTAGGAATTATTCCATTAAGAAAGCCCCGTATCCACTTATTCTCCTATTTAGAGAATTTCTTCGCTAATAATTCACATCCATCTTAAATGCAATTTCATATAACATAAACTCACAAGAACAATCATTTTCACACCCTCATGCAATAGTCTTTTATTCTTTGCCTCAATACATTAACATACAATCAGGCATAACTATGCATGTTATCAGACTACTTTTCTTTGTTATACCTTCACCTCCTAATGGTTTTTAGCCGTAAGCTAAACCTAGAGGTTTACAGTTTGGTTCATAATTCTAGCTTTCCATTTCATTAATTCTTTTGTTAACTTTAACTTTTGTGGTTATAGAGCCTATGCTCCACTTGATCAGACTAACGTCAAATCTGTCAATTCAACACAATGTTCACTCTCACAGACATTGCATGCATCATCAAGAATACATCACTCACATGCATGCATTACACTTTATGCAACAACATGTCTATCATCATTACACTGGGTGGACAATTCACAAGAAAGAAATTTTCAAATCATACCTTCTGCTTGCCTGAGAGTTTCCTCCCCATCATGTGGCTCTAAGGTATAATCTTGACCTCTTACTCGAGATCCAACAATTGCGTGTACATTTGAAATCCGATAAGTCCTAGTAGGACATACATTAGCAAAGTGACCCAGTTGGCCACATTTGAAGCACGACTTTGTTTCGTACCAACATGTGCCTCTATGTGTCTTCCCGCAGGTGTCACATTTAGACAGGGGGAATTCACTCATAACTGTCTCTCCTTGGTTGCCTTTTCTCTTAAATTTATCATCAGATTGCTTCGCTTGCAATTTCTTCTTTCCATTCTTGTCATCTATTTTCTTATTGTTTTCTAAAGTAGAGTCAGTTGCTCCACTAGCACCTGAAGCTTGTGTCCCAGAAGACTTCTTGCTCTTTGCCACATTATAAACTTCTTCTACTTTCCGGCATTGGTTCACAAACTTGCTAAACTCTCGGATATCACAATTAGACATCTTCCGAGACATTTTCTCATTCAGACCCCATTGAAATTTAGAGGTCATCTCGGCCGGAGTAGGTAAGGCTCTCCCATAGTTGGCGTACTTCACCAATTCGTTGAATTTAGCAAAATATTGGTCAATTGACATCGACCCTTGCTTTAGATCATTGTACTCGTTCTGCTTCTGCTCCCTAGCCTCCCTAGGGAAGTAGTTGTCCAAGAATAAAGTCTCGAACAACCGCCAGGTGATTTCCCGGCCTTCAGCTTCTAAGGGCTGCACTGTATTGGTCCACCAATCTTCCGCTTCCTCTTCCAGCATATAAACAGAGTAAGCCAACTTCATTACGTCAGGGCATCTCATCACCCTGAATATTTTCTCCATCGCTTGGAGCCACTTTGCAGCCGCCATTGGCTCATAACCTCCCTTAAAAGAAGGAGGTTTGTGTTTTCGGAAAGCCATCAATCTCCTTTCCTCCATTTCATGATCACCGACATTTTCAACTCGAGGTTGACGAACCTCAGTGTGATGACTCCGACTTCCAGAGTGGTGACTACCCTCACCCTCATTGTTACCCAATCCACCCTCTTCCTGTGAAGGAGGTGGAGAAGGCGTAGCAGTGTGAGGAGGAGGAGTGGGTTGCCGGTTCACGGGCCTAGGACCCCTCAACGTCCTCAACTCGGTCATCATTGCGGCCATGGCAGTCCGCGAGTCTTCATTTGTTTTCATCAGATTTTCATTGGCTTGCCTGCTAGCAGCCAACTCCCTCTGAACAGCTGCAAGAGCTTCAGCCACGGGATCAGACTGTACGCCAGTTGCCCCACGGCCACTTCTAGGCCTCACAAGAGCAGCCAAAACAGGTTCTGGCTGAGCATTGGTGTTTGATGGTCCGGGGTTATTCCGGTTCCTCGTCATGTCACTACACATGTTACACACAGAAATGAGTTGATCAGGCTCATACTTAGTGATCACAAGTGCAATAATCATAAAGAGTACCAAAACAACTATAAAACATCAAACACTAAGCATACCCAACAATAGCTAACAGTTATTCCCTACGAAACTGCTTTGATACCATAAAATGTAACACCCCGTTCTAGAACCGGATTGTTATCATTGCGTACGGCATTAAGCGCAGTTACAATCACATTGGTTCAATTAGAAAACCGGATAAATTTTTCCTCTTTATACAAGCCGGATTCAAATAACCAAGTGCGTGACCATAACTATATATACTTCGCGGAATAGTGGGACAAAACTTAAGATTATATTCCCATTATACTTGACAATACGTCGTGAAATGTCTTCATCACTTTACTTATCAAATTAATTCTAAACTCCTTTTATGATTCCCATCTTCTACTATGTTATAGTATTTTTCATTAGCTACGCGTGGGTTCAAACCGCGCTCAAATCGGAGCACCGTAGCCAAAGTTATGCACTTTTTAAGAAAAGGGTGCGAAACCTCCAGAACCCCCGCGCCCGCAGCGTGAGATCCACGCTCAGAGCGTGGGAAAATAGAAAGTTGGCGCCCCAAGCGTGAATCTGGCGCCCCAAGCGTGGATGCTACTGTCTGATCTCGTAATTTGGCGCCCCAAGCGTGAATCTGGCGCCCCAAGCGCCATCCACAGGGCTGGGTGACCCAAAACAAGGTCATTTAACCTACCTATAATTTTCCACTCATAACTTGAGCTATACTCACTCAAATTACACCATTTTGGTCTCTATGGAAAGCTAAGAGGAATGTCTACCACTTCCCTAGAGACATCAAAGTCCAATTCCATCACATTGGTTATGAAAATTGGTCAAACGGACAGGATGTATTTGTTTTCTCAACATTTCCCAATTTAGCACTAGGTACCTAATTTAGTTTCCAGTTCAACAATCCAATAGTTAATGAACATACATATATTAAACTCAAAGTACTCATCAATTACACATCATGTTCATTACAATTCATGGAACTTAGCTAACAAAACACTATGATCATTCCCTTGGCTCTCATCAACAAAAGAGATGACCAAAGGCATGAGCATAGGCTAAGTCCATTCCAATATACAATTCATACATCTATCAATGGTCTATGAATTACAATCCTATACATGTGAGCTACAAAACAACATGTACAATCTCAAAAGAAATGCCACATTTCATGCATAATCCAGATATGGCCACTTGCCACCAGAGGCTCCTGCAGCATCCTTACCTGAAAGGGGGTCCCCACAACACGGGGTGAGATATACGAATATATCCAGTAAACCAGGGGTCCTTGGAGTATCTCTCCACCCCACAGTTCCATATCAGTGTAATAGCAATAACTATAATAATGCAGTAAATACATATCTATGCAAAGTGCAATACATCTCCAGGAGAAATCCCTCGAGCTCTCAAGCTGTCCTAAGGAAACTCAGATGCAAATAGTCCTACTGGCCAGCTAACTACCAAGTATGATTTACGCATCGTCATGCAACATACCAACATAGGGAAACACCATCCTATGCCACACCAAATGCATACACATACGTATAACAAAGCATTACACTATTTTATTGCATTTATATACACAATCACAACCTCCACCCTTTCAGGGCTTGGTAGAACAGTCAAGGGAATTACACCCAAGGTCCGAAGGCTTACCTCAGCTTCAATTCGACCTTTGTTCACCACCAACAGTTTCCACAGTCAATCAATTAAAATACTCCACTTCTCAAACAAAACCTACACAAGGTTTAATGCAATTAACATATATTGCATCCAATAACATCACATAGCTATCATCCAAGCTATACAATTCATACCAAACATAAGCATGAACTCACCTATCCAATGGAGCTAATCAAGCTCCATAGCTTGCTCCAATGGTTGATCACTCACGGTTGGTCCAAATGTCTCAATCCTAGACATCACAAGGATCCAATCATCAATCAACCAAGCCAACCCATTGGTCATAATTGCAAGAAAACTCTTCAACAAGCATGATAATCTTGCAATATACCAAGTATAGTCATTTAACTAACTAGGCTCATTTTTACCGATTAAATGACATTCCTAGCATTTTTCTCAACATGTGCTAAGTCTCAATTCTACCACAACATAGCCAATTTACTCAAATTCTCACAAAACCCATAACACTATTCATTCAAAACCCTATATCATGAAATTTCCAAGAAAACATGGTTCAAGGGTTAGAATCTTACCACCAATGGTCACACAACCAAGGATTGATGGCTCCTCAAGCTTCAATGGAGGTTGAAGCACTCAAAACCTCAAATTTCACCAAAGGGCCGAATTTTTGAGAGCCAATATCCCTCTCCACAATGCTCCCCACTCAAAACAAAGCAAGGATTATGAAAGAGGAGGAGATTTGGAGTGGTTTAGGCTTTGGAATCACTCAAAATGGTTGAGATTAGCTCCCCCTAGGGTTTCTCTTCCTCTCTTCCCTTCCTCCCTCTTCTTCTCTTCCTTCTTCTTCTTTCTGGCGACGGGAATGGGAGGGACAATTGGGTTTCTTTTGTTGCTTTGGTCACTTAACTTATGTTAAGTGGCTTTAAGCGGGTATTGGTTCGTCTATCTATTCAACTCCATTAATTACCAAACTTTACCCAAAAGTCTGGAATATTATTCTAGGAATATTTACAACTTTATTTTTATATTTTGGGCACTTTTGCCAGTACCCATTTATACTCCTTAATTTTCGCTGAGTACACTTTTTAACTCCAAAGTGACTCAGATTCATTTCATTAAGCCTTATACTTAATTTTACTCACTAAAACATGCTTAATTATTTAATTACTTGTAATTTACTAATTAATTAGGTTAGGGATATTATATGGGTAAGTGGTTTGATCTTTTGCATTTTTGCTTGGAGCCAACCCGCGAAATGACTCGTTTGACTAGCGGATTGGCACGATTTTTTTCGAGCAGGCTCGGGTCGGGCTGATTCGGGTTGTCAGCTCATTTTTTTCAACCCAACCCAACTCATTTTTTGCGGGTTACGAGTCAACCAGGTTGACTCATTTTTTAGAATTTCAAAAATAATATCTCTTTTGTGTGGATATAATGCACTTAGACTATGGTTGCACAAGTAAACAATAAGAAAATCTCATACTGCAGTTTTATTCTCTCTTTTTTTTTTTAAATGTAAATGGACAACTACAAAGAAAATCATTTAAGATAAGAGGTAACATGAATGGGGAAAGATATCAAATAATTTATGTCACTACTACTTTTTGGGGTTGAGAAAAATTGGAAGATGAGGTTTTCTCATAATGCTACGTGGACTAGCTGATATTGCTATAGATAATGGACAATGATCTAGGTTGATATCAAATAATTTATTAGTATTTTTAAATGTGAGTAAGGAAAAACATTTACAATAAGAGGTAACATTCGAAAGATATCAAACATCTATTGGCATTAATTAGTAGCTATAGTATGATGACGCCTCTACATCATTTTTTTGTTTTGGACAACCTCCATTAAATTTATGAAAGGAAGAAACTTTTGATTAGATTAAGCTCCTTCATGACATCAATCATGCTTATTCTTTCTTTTGGTGATTCCAGTGAACAAGCAAGTGCAATCTTAAAAAGCGAACGCAAACAATTTTCTACATTAGGATGCATAAGGCCAAAGTTCTCATTGCTAGTAGCATTTTCTTCGTTGAGAATAGTCAGGTCCACAATCTGCAAAAGGTTATTCAAAAATGAAATTTTAACATAATTGTGGAGATTGTGACCATCTTTAAACATTTCATCTGTTGGTCTCCTTCCGGTTAGCAGTTCTAAAATCAGAATTCCGAAGCTATACATATCACCTTCAATTGACACCTCAGAACCCATTCCGTACTCTGAAATGTAATGCAAATCAGTAAATGCCACTAAAAATATAAAAAAAATTAACCCAAAAGAAAATAAAATTCTATAAACATTTGCTAAAACTTGAAAATAAAAAATTTCACAACTTAACAAAACAATATTAGGGTATACCTGGAGGAGCATAACCAATAGTTCCCTTTATTCCAATTGTGCTACTTTGCATCAAAGAGACTCCAACACTTGAGAGTATTCGTGCTAGGCCAAAATCACTTACATGAGCTACCATGCAATCATCAAGAAGAACATTACTAGGCTTCAAATCACAATGAATGATAGCTTGCTCACATTCGTAGTGAAGATAATGAACTGCTGAAGCAACATCATTAATAATATTTAACATTTCCTCAAGGTTCAAAGATCTAGGCCGATCTGTAATATCTGCTGCTGGATGCAACCAACTTTCTAAGCTTCCATTTGTCATGTACTCAAAAACAAGAGCTTTAAATTCTTGACCTTTGAAATCTATGCTAGAACAACATGTTAAAATCTTAACCAGATTTCGATGCCTAATATTTTTGAGTGCATTGCATTCAGCCATGAAACTCTTGTGAGCTCCCTTCTTTTGAAGATTTAGGACTTTTATGGCAACAACTGTGTCTTCTGGCTCAATAGTTCCTTTGTACACAGAGCCGAAACTTCCAGATCCTATCAAGTTTCTTGTTGAAAACCCATCGGTTCCATGGTGTAGATTTTGGTATGAAACCTTGGCCAACTGGTCAATTGTTGGTGAATCAGATGATTGTTTCTTGCTTCTTTTCCTCATCCAAAAGAAAGTGAGAACGAATGAAAGTATCAGAAGAAAAGAAACTACACTAATTATCACTGCTATCAACCTGGAATTGTGGTGTTTTGCATGTTGGTCACCTTTGACAGGGCATGGCGGTAGATGCAGCTCTAAAACACCTCCACAAAGCTTGTTGTTTCCAGTCACTACTAACTCACTTGCATTTCGAAAGACACCTTTAGTTGGTACCTCGCCATCCAACATGTTAAATGATACATTTAAGTATTCTAAAAAAGCAATATTTTGCAAAACATCAGGGATTAATCCAGACAAGTGATTTCGTGATAGATCTAAATGTCGAAGACCTTTTAGTGAAGCCAAAGAGGATGGTATGATTCCAAGGAAAGAATTCCCCTTCAAATAAAGGTACTCCAAGCTTGAGCATTCTCCAATGGTTATAGGAATATTACCAGACAGATGATTTTCAGAGACATTAAGCACATTAATATTTTTTAATTGGCCCACTTCATTTGGTAGACTACCACTTAATGAGTTATGTGACAAGTCTAGTAAATTTGTTAAAGAGGAAAGACTAAAAATCTCTAAGGGTATAGTTCCTCTAAGGTAGTTCCGGGAAAGGTCTAGAACTTGCAACTTTTGACAATTCCCTATACTTGTAGGAATATTTCCTTCTAACAAATTTTGGTCTAAATCCAAATAAAACAACAAACTGAGGTTGCCTATGATGGATGGTATATTTCCTGACAGCTTGTTTCCACCCAAATATAAAAGTTGCATATTCTGAAACTTTCCAAAAGCAGATGGAATAATCCCTTCAAGACGACTATTTTCCATGCCCAAGAGAGTTAAGCTAATTAGATTTCCTAATTCTGTAGGAATTTGTCCTGATATCTGATTACCCCCAAGATCTAGTTGAGTGAGTTGGGAGGATAAATTACCCAAGCAATTTGGCAAATGACCTACAAACTTATTGTTGGCGATACCTAATAGTTGCAACTTACTACAGTTTGTCAATGATTTTAAGAAATCCAAATCCGTAGTTAAATTGCCACCTAGATTGCTTTCAGACAATTGTAGGAAATACAGATCTCTTAGCTTCCCCATACTCGGAACTTGTCCTACAAAATGGTTTGCACCGATATCAAGTACTTGAAGGATAGAAGCATTTGCAATGGAAGTGGGAATCAAACCTGAGATTTGATTCTCACCAATTTCAAAGTCTTGGAGATTGGGAAGGGTGAGGAACATATTGGGTGGAAGAGAGCCATTAAATTGGTTCTCTGTAGCTGTGATTATAGTAAGAGATGACATATTATAAAGACAAGAAGGAAATGTACCCGACAATTTGTTTACACCCACTGCTATCAATGTCAGGTTTTTAAGGCGGCATATTTCTTGTGGAATTTCTCCCTCCAAGTTATTATAACCCACCCTGAGATGATTTAGGGATGAAAAATTTCCTATGAATGGCGGGACTCCTCCGGTTAAATTGTTTCTTGCAACGTACAATATCTGAAGTTTCTGGAGAGAGGCAATTTCAATTGGTATGCTGCTAATAAGATTATTCCCTCCCAATAATAAGCTTTTGAGATCAGAGCAACTTGTCAAGTTTGTAGGAATTCCCCCAGTCAATGAGTTATTGACGAGAGAGAGTTGCTGCAGTTGTAACAATCGACCCAATTCTTGTGGGATTTTTCCGTAGAAGTTGTTATTTGCGAGGTTGAGTTCTATAAGAAAAGAAAGATTGCCAATTTGTGGAGATATGAGCCCATGCAATTGATAACCTTGTAGGTTCAACTCGGTAACTCTTTGATGCATGGGGCTGCATGTGAGTCCATGCCAGTTGCAGAAGTGGATAGAACTATTCCAAGAGAACAAGATTCCAGATGGGTCATTGGATATTGATTCCTTGAATTTGAGCAATGCCAAGTGATCAGTTTCATTTCCTGATGCAGAGGCAGTTGTGTTTGGGCCAAACCAAAGTGAGTTCAAAGTAATTAAGAGAAGAAATAGGGGAAGGCATGTAGAACCAAATTCATGTATGATGAGAGAAAAGGGCTTCATTTTTTGGTTGAGGAAGACGAGACTACCGGAGTTTGATAATTGGATGGAAACACAGATGTGGGATATTACTTCCTTGTGTTACTCTATGCACTTAAATAATGGAGGCAACGCAATAGGAAATTAGCACCACTTATAAGTCAAGTAAAAGGACTTATTTGCAGCATTTACATGGACTTAGGTGTGAAGAGAAGAAAAAGGACCATAAAGATGCCAACAGACGTGGGCCCGATCAATGGGAATTTAGTAACCAATAACTCCTGAATTGGTACATCGCCAGTAATGACTTGGAATTTCTTCTAGATTGAAAAGCTATGTATTATCAAACGTTGAGATTAGATAGGAATTAAATTAAATTTATGTTCTCAAATTAATTTTATGATAATTTATGAAGTAGTTGGGTGTATTAATATGAAGATACATAAGAATTTCTTTTAGTGAATAAAACTTGGCCTTTTCTCTCTTCTGTCTTGATATCTCTCTGGTTTTCCCTCTAATTTTGGTTACTAGTCAGTTGTCAATGCTCCCAGTAAATGTCTGTTCGACATAGCATGTCATTTAGGAATTAAATTAAATATATGTTGTCAAAATAATTTAAAAATAATTTATTAAAATTTAAATAGTTGAATGAATTAATCTAAAAATACAAAAGAACTAACTCTTCAGTCTTTTCTCACTCTTCAGTCTGCATCTCTCTGTTTTTTTTATGTAATTTTGCGTATTAGTCCGCAGTCATGCCCCCGGTTTATACGTTTCCCACCAAGGGAACTCTTGATAAACTTGAATTTATTGCTTTTGATAAAAGTCGATGCTTGACTGCTTTTTGGGGTTGTGGAAAATTGGAAGATGAGGTTTTTTCTTAATGTTATGTGGACCAGCTGATATTGCTATAGAGAGGAGTCATTTTTGTCATCATATCTACCTTAGTGATTTTCGAGCAATATTGATGAGCTTGTATTATGTGGCCATTGGCATTAAAACGGGGTGAAAATTTAGGTGCGTGCATAACAAAATTGTTTACCCTCTGAGATAATATCGTCTAGTCGGAGCTTTTGTCACAAAAGGAAGCAGAATATATATCACATGCTAATACATCAATTCAATGAAGACATACATAGCAAGTCACACTGAAAAATTAAATTAGATTTATGTTGTCAAAATAATTTATTATAGAAGTTAAGTAGCTGAATGAATTAATCTGAAAATACATAAGAATTTCTTCGTGATTAATGAATAAAACTTGGCCTTTCTCACTCTTCGGTCTTTGTCTATATGGTTTCTCTCTAGTTTTTCTTACTAGTCAGTGGTCATGCCCTGGTTAATACGTTCTATACAAAGTCTGGATAAATTTTAATGTATTGCTTCTAATAAAAGTCAATGCTAGCTTGTCTGCTTCATCATGATTAGTCTTTTTTGTGTGTTACCTTACAATCGTTTATTTTGGGGTGGAAGACAGGAAGATGAGGTTTTCTCCTAATGCTATGTGGACCAGCGGATATTGCTACAACAGGAAGTCATTTATGTCAGTCTCTGGACTTAAAAGCATATTGGATACTTTACCACCACAAGGTATCAGTCCCATACTTAAGTTTGTAATGAGAGAAGTGGAAGGAAACAAAACTAAAAACTAAATTATCCTCGGTTTTCTTGAAATTTATTAACTTGTGTAAATTGATCGAGAATATATGTAACGGAATTCAAGTGATCAGGTGATCCAACTATATGCAAATAACATATGATAAACAAAAGTGAACGATGTTCAATACTAGCACAAATAGAAAACCAAAGTGCTAACTCTGAACAAAGATAAGTCACTTACATCCAAACAGAATTTTTTCTGGATCAAAAAGTGATATAACTAAGGGAAAAATAAAATAAAATCTGGAATCAATTTGTTAGACCTTCATCACTAGATGCAGTTCTTTGATAACATCCACCATATTCATTCTATCGTAAACTATTTGACGTCGAAAGCACATAAAAAAGGTGGCTAGAAGAAAGTTAGGATTTGGTAAAAGAATAACCCTCTAATTCTCAGTTTTTAATTAACAAATAACAAAATTTAACTCATACAATAAGGGTTATAAGCACCCTTTTATAGAATAATCACAAATTAATCCAAAATTCAAAATCTAAAATCCTAAAAATATGGAAATTTCCTAAAATAAATATAACGGTAATTAAATTCTAAGAATAAATAAATAATTACAATTAAGTCATTCAAAACACGTCCTAAATCTTAGATCTCAAATCATGCCAAATGTGTTGCTTTCATTTTCTTGTCAAACAAACCACAATAATATCTGCGGCTTTATTTGGATTAGAATTTGATCATAATTTGTTATATTTTAAATTACTATTTTTTTTATCAATTTGACCATACTTATTGAGTCACAATTCTGGTTGGCTCCGGACTTCCTGAATCAATGGTTAGGCCATGTAATGGGCCAACCGTAAAGGCATCATTATCCCCTTCTAGAAAAATATTCGTCATCAAATCTTCTTCATCTTTACTGATAGCAATCTCTTTAAGTAAAACTCAACTAATAATTCTTTTTCTTTTAGATATTTATCATCATATTCTCTATCAGATTTATCACAGACTGAATTATCATCATAAAATGAATTTTCATCATAAGATGGATAGTCCTTATAAATTGGATAATCATCATAAATTGTGTTATGATCATAGTCATCAAAGTTATGAATGTTGAGTTGCATCTTAATATCTTGAAAGGTGGACTATGATCTAGGTCGTACTCCCCAATTTTGTCCCTGGTTTAGAATCCCCAAAGGACTGATATCCTTCTCTTTGTTATCAGATGCGTAGCCATTAGTTTATCCAATCATATATTTTCATAGCAGGGGAGAATGATGCACTTAGGGTGTGCATGACAACCTTCCCAAAATCACTTTTTTTTTAGTTTATGTTCCCGGGAATAGAAATGGATAGGAAACTCGTTTAGTAAAACCGATTTATTTTTTTGTTCTCGGGATGAACCGATTTAATTTTTGTGCTGAGGAACAGAAAAAAGAATAAAAAAATTTCTGCTTTTTTATTCCCGGGCACAAAATGAAAAACACTTGTCTCTCTCAATTACTCTTCACCACTACCATCATCACCACTATCACCATCATCCCGACACACTACCATCGTTGCCGTTATCGTCGTACCACCAGTGCCATCGTCACCACCACCACACCACCACCATCGTCGCAGCCATTGCCGTCACCACCACCACCATGTCATAACCACCACCATCGCTACCACTACCATCACCGCTGCAACCACGACCATCACTACAACCACTATGCCACCGCCACCAACCACCACCATCACCACCCTTACCACTATCGCCACCACCATCGCTACCACCGCGACCAACTACCACCACCATCGTTGCAGCCACTGCTGTCACCACCACCACCATATCATTACCACCACCACCATCGTCGCAGCCACTGCTGTCACCACCACCACCATACCATTACCACCACCACCATCGTCGCAGCCACCGCCGTCACCACCACCACCATTAGCACCACCACCGCCACCGCCACCGCCACCAACTACCACCACCACCATCACAGCCACTGCTGTCACCACCAACATCGTCGCAGCCATTGCCGTCACCACCACCACTATGTCATTACAACCACCATCGCCACCACGATTGTCGTAGCCACTGCCATCACTACCACCACCATGCCACCGCCACCAACCACCACCACCATCGTCGCAGCCACAGCCGTCACCATCGCCACCATTACCACCACTGCCGCCACCACCATCTATCCGAGCCAGATCCCCAAAGAGCAGTTATATTCCTGGTGAGCATTCTGCCATGAGACATCTTCCAAATTTGGAATTTAATTTTTTCTGGGCCCTTCCAACTCCATATCCTGCTCAAGGGAAAGTCAGTACAGCTATTAACAAATTTAGATATTTTAACATATGCTTGTTTAACAAGAGAAGTGGAAGGATTGTAATTTTTCCACATTAAACTATCAGCTCCAGCACAACTAGAAGGGGGAGGGATGGCGGAAATAAGCTTAATAACATCATATTCAAAAAAGCTAGAAATGAAGTTTGAGTTCCAAGTTCCTGTAATGTGTTCAACAACTTCTGCTACATAATCGGATAATAAGAGAGGATGAGGTTGATGTTTAGCTACATCAATCAGCCTGGGGATCTCTCCAATCCAGTTATCAAACCAGAAGTTAATTTTTTGTCCATCACCAACCTGCCAGACAAGGCCTTCCAACATGTCAGGCCAGATTTTACAAAGATTTCTCCACAAATTTGAGTCATACGATTTACATGATGGGGAGCTAGTCAGATCCTTATATCTACCATATTTAGCAATAAGAATTTGAGTCCAAAGCTAATCAGGGGAGTTAATGATTGACCAAGCCATTTTATGCATAAAGGCTTCATTTTGTTTTTTTAACTTCATTAATCCGAGACCACCTAGATTCTTAGGAGTACAGATTTGCTCCCAAGAGATGACATGAGCTTTCTTTTTTGAGTTGGAATCTCCCCATATGAATTTTCTTTGAAGCTTTTCCATGTCATCACAAATTCCCATGGGGATGATGCCTCTTTGCATCTGGAACAAAGGGATGGAAGAGATGACAGATTTTGCAAGTATAACCCTTCAAGCCATGGAAAGATTGTGGCTTGCCCAGCCATTTAATTTGTTATGTACTTTGTCCAAGATGTCTCGATAGAGGCTTCTATTGACTCTACCATGCTTCATCATAGCACCCAGGAATCTCCCAAGATTAGTGGTAGGAGTAAAACCACTAATATTCACTATTTTCGCAGTCATTTCATTAGAGACATTTATGGGTAAAAAGATGTTAGATTTTCCATTATTCACTCTTTGACCCGAGGAGGCTTCAAATTGATTTAAACATTCCGTAACCACGATGTATTTCTTTCTTAGTACATGTGCTTGCAATGCAACCACTAAAATTGCTCCTTGAGTGACATTCATAATTAATTAAAAAAAATATTTCTTTACTAAAAAAATATATGACCAAATTTATGTGTACACTTGCATACATTGACAACCAAATAGCTCTGCCAATAATTTGAGGA